ATTTTGCGTTAAAATTTTTGGACTAGACTCGATGTACTTTTAGAGGTACTTTTTTTTGTGTACAGGTAATACACATTAATGCCGCGCAGAGAAAGTTTATATGATATTATGTGTGTAGAAATGTACATCGCGTGAAATTCGTTAATCAAACTCCTAATATCGTTCTTTTTGTTCAAATTTTTTTAATGAATAATTTCTTTAGTGTGTAATTACACTAGTTATACCTAATTATTTATACCTAGCTATTTTCGTTTTATAGAGAAGAAAAACTTAAAGAGCTAAAAAGAAAAAGAAATCGTGAACGTCAAAGGGCATATTATCACCGTCAGAAAGATTTGAAGAAAAATGAAAATAAAATAAAAAAAGAACGAAAAAAAAAAGAAAGACCACCAAAATCAAATGCTGAACGTCAAAGGGAATTTCGTCAACGTAAAGCAGAAAAATCCTACGTGGATATGTAATTTGATTTAATAATATGTAAAAACAAATTGTAGTATATGCCTCAATCTTATTTAACTTTACGATTTCCTCTTTTTTTTTCACAGGAAAAAACGAAAATTGTGCAGTAATGAAGAGAATGTCGTGCAAGATAGGGCTGTTGAAAATACAGAAAATGTAACGCTACAGGAAAATCAATTTCACAGCCAACAACTTCATATCTATGAACAGTGTAATGAATGCATTACTCCCGAAGTTATTCTACACAGGAACACGGGAATTCCTGGCGATGGCGATTGCCTATTCCACTCGCTCATAAGTGTTTTGCAACTTCAAATTGAGAGTTGTGAATTGAGAAATCAGTTACGCGATTCACCCTATTTAAACTCCTGCCACAATCCGCAAGAAGCATATAAGATTCTATCAAGCACTAATGATTACGGAGATTTGGATTGTTTGTACTTATTTTCAAAAATGTACAATCAAAATGTTTGTGTACATTATTGTTTTTACAACATAACTACAAAGAATGAAGACGCTATCTTTTGGCATTTTAAAGCGAATGATGCACAAAACTGGATTCATCTTCATCTTCGTGAACAACATTTCACACCTTTTTATGAAGTATCAGATTTATTGAAGCCAATAAAAGACGCTACCCAAAATGAAGCCCATGTTGATGCCAATATTCAACTATTGCGTGATAATTATGATGAAGATGCTACCGAAGACAACCATAACAATCATGAAAATGAAATTGAGATTGATAGAGAAGATCGAATTGGTGAAAATATTATGGATTTTATTGTTGATGGTACTACTCCAGTTTACACAAATTATCGTAAACACAGCACAAGTCATATTGATTTTTATAAAGACTTTACGAGTAATTCATTTGG